ACTGAATTGATGCCTTTTGAATGCAAAGACAATGACCACAAGGGATGGCGTCAGACTATATATAGACCCTTTTATGACATATTATGTGTAGGAGTTATTCCCCTTAGCTGTCATATTGTATAGTAGGGCAACACATCCAGATCTCTCATTATTCAACCAAGTGCAATTTTTATATTTGTTACTAAGGTAAAGATAACACTATTTTCTTATGAATATACGTTTGTCAAAGACTCTTAATTCACAATTTTAAGATTGTAAATACCCCCCCCCCTATATATCTTGCATGTATGTTTATAATTAATTGCTTAAAGCAAGGGGTAAATTCACTACTTTGCCCTAGATGGCGGCGAAGGGGAATAACTCATAGGCAAAATATGTCACAGGAAAAGGGTCTATTGTGATACACATTGATTGTTCCTCCTCACAATCGGACTTTAGCATGTTGAATCATCGTACTTCAAGGTATCACACCGGTAATTGTTTTCACTATATAATGTTTATATAGGATAAAAGAAATCGTACAAAAATCTGGTGTTTGTTCACATGAAAAAAATATTTAGAAGGAGGTGTTATTAGTTACAGTCTTTAAGAGACAGGGGATGGGATGATACCTGGTTTTTAAATTTCACACCTGGCAAGGCGGACCCGAGTCAGGTATGAAATTTACTAAGCAGGTATCATCCCATACCCTGTCAATAAAAGACTATGTAACGAATTTACCCCACCGATGAAACATTCACATTTTATCAGTGGTTTATAAAAATGATTTTCTATTCTAAATGCTACATCATGCTTATACTGTGCCTATTATGACGTCACGTTATTTTTGTTAAATATATCGACCGGGTAAAGATTTACAACTGACCGGGTATACATGTAAGTAATCCACCTCCTTCATGAGACAGACTCCAACCACTCGTAAGCCAGGATTTCATGGAAAAATCAAAAGCGGTGGGGGTAATAAACATAACCTGTCGCATTAGCCGACACCAAAAAACAGGGTACCTACACGGCATTTTCTGACTTTTTCTATCTACAAACAGGGCTACCAACATATCCACGTGTTTTCAATTTGTTTATAAACACATCAAGTGCACCACAAGAAGTAGCCTCCTATGCCTGGAAAAAAAAAGTTCCTGTGAAAAACCTTTATTTGGCAAAAAGTACATAAAAGTTACTAGGCACAGGTACCAAAGTTGTAAAAATGGCTTGGAAGAAAATAGAAAAAGTCTCAAAAAAAGAAAATCAATTTTATACGTATTGACCTACATTTGACAAAAAGTTCATTTTGATTGGTCAGTTACCAGTGTGATACCTTAAGCGCAACGTGTCTGGTTGGCAACGTGTTATCGAACTCTGGTGTGACCATTGGGGTTTTGTGCAAACCATAGAACTTTGGTGTAGCCAAGTGAGACCATCACACTTTTGCGTGATCTTGGCACATTGGCGTCTTACATATATATTTTTATATGGAAGAACAATCTTATAACTTTCTGGTAGAAATGAGTCTCTATAAATCTAAAGTACAGTCTTGTGATTTTGGTAGACTAGATAAGTCATCTCTTAGGTTAAACAGTACTTTGAAATTTTCGAAAATATTTCATCACGTTAAGAATCTTCTTAGCACCTCTGATATTAATTGTCTACTGAAGAATGTATAAAAATTAACTAGACTCCCAGATCTGTTGTTTGATTGTAATTTTGCTGATAAGTTCATTAGAAATAAAATAATTATTGCAAATTAATAGCCATTCTCCGTAAGCATTTAAACTCTTATATAGGGAGTGTGGCACGCATGGTCTTGGATTTTGACGAAACTTGGCATACATTCCTATATTGTATGTAACTAAAAGTCATAATAAAAATGTTGCTATGGTCCATGGTTACCATGGCAACCAACATACATTTTTCATGGCCTAAAAGACGCTTAATTTTGATGGAAAATGACACTTTTTTGACTTATTTAAAGTATTTAATGGAACAAGCTATTAACATGATTTTACCTTTTTGCCAAAATACATCATTTTACAGTGCTTTAGAAAAATTTTTGTATTTCAGTAACTTTCCCTCATAGAAAAAATACCCCTCGTTTATAGGTAGGATTTTTCTTGGGGAAAATTATAGATTTTAGGCTCTTTTGAAAAGCCTGGTATAAATTTCTCGGATAGTTGGGAAAAAATGAATACATGTGTTTGAAAGTCCATATATAGTTCTAATATCAACTACAAAGAGCTACTTGGTTTTCATATTTAGTTTTCTTGTTACCATGGTTACAAACTTATGCTTTTTTAAAAATCCTAGAAAAGTACAATACGTAGATACAATCATGATCCATATAATTGCCTGAGTATTTTAAAATGGATTAAAACAAATTTAGATATATGGTAAACAATAGCAAAAACAAAGAGAAAAAAAAATTCATGACTAAGGGTCATAGGTCAAGGTCAAAATGGCAGATTTAGATAGATATTTAAGGAAACTAAACAACATTTTTCTGTGTCATAACTAATACTTGTGTTTTAAGCAACAAATGAAGAAACAAAATTACAGTTCTGGCCAACAATAACTAGCATCATATGAATGTGTGCCCATAAGGACAGAAGGTCAAAGCTCAAGGTCACAGTGGTATATAAAGAACTACGCACGCTAAATCTCAATTCCCGCCTACATTTTGCAACCATTTTATTCAACATTAATGGCTATAAAATCTTTGTTTAATACAAAAACCAGTGCAAATTTAGCCATTAAATCTTTTGTTTTATACAAAAAAAGAATGCAATGGTATTTGATTCATTATCTTAATACCAGTGCTAAATAGTACTTTATCCCTTTTTCCAACTCTTGAGATAAAGGTGAGGGGGGAAGAGGAGTCGATGTTATTTTCCATTGAAATCGGACTTTCAAGCATCACCATACATGTATTTTGAAAAAAATCTTGGATTTATATAAATGTTCCACATATTTTTTTCTCATGTTTTACGCAAAGAAGTAAACATGTATATATTAATAAAATACACTGTTTAAGCTGTAAATCGCTTTGAAACTGGGGGAAAATAGGCATTTATTTTCGTCTTTTGTCTATAAAAATATGCCCCCCTCCTCTGTCTGTTTTAACATTTTATTATCGTGGGATATCTTAAGAAGCCTACGATCTTTTTCAAATGAGTTTATATCACAACTCGCTTCAGCGTAAAAAGACCCCTATTGATTTCCAGGTCAAGAGGTCAAAGTAAAAAAAATTGTTTGTATGTAAACCTCTCATTTCCGAGCGATATCTCAAAAAGCATTTATGTATGCTTTATTATATCATAACTCCCTTCGGTCCCGCCCGCCCTCTTTAAGTGTCCCATCCCCTACCCCCATCAACTCTGACACCCCCCCACTCCTCTTAATCTACACAAGTTCTTATCTCCTTAACAATGGGACACATATTCTTTGAATTAGTTTGTTAATAATGCATTCTAATGCAATTGTTTTGTAAAACACTCTTTGATTGGCTGATGCACTAATGTTTGAAGCAGTAAAACGAGCATTATCGAGGGTGAAAGCTTTTTCATTGTGACGTCATAATAGAGCAACGCAAAAATACAATGCTCCGTGACGTATTTCATGTAACGAAAGTCAACAAAATAAGACGTAAACAACAAACAAAATGCATGGATTGCATTAGAATATGAATAACTAAACTTCTAATTTGGTATTAGCGACCGTTAATGCTGATTTAACGGTCGCAAACATCCGTTTTACCGGCTCCGCTTACGCGTCGCCGGTAAAACTCAGTTTGCGACCGTTAAATCAGCATTAACGGTCGCTAATACCAAATTAGAAGATAGTTATTCCCTAATTTATACTCGGGTATTCGGAATACTGACACAATGATTGTAATGTTGTATCCTGACCTCTATCCTGTATATTAAATGTATTTTATTGAAACTGGTTTTACATTCTCCCTTTAGCTTGATCCATAATGTGAAAATACTTATAAAGTACGTTTTTTCAGGGTTTTTTTAAATAAAGGTAGGCAATTAAGATTATTACACGACTATACACTTTCCATATTCTTGTACGTAAAGAATTGTGCTACAAGCATGTAAAGACACTCTTTTGTTGTTTTAGTAAACTAATTCCTTGCTCCTAAATTTACATTTTTTAAAACCATATTTAACAATCCGAACTTTTCAAGTGACAGTCAAAATGTGTTTTCCGTTGACTTTTTTTTCAGAGAAGTTGATGGAAAATTCTAATTTACTTTTCAATATCATTCTTGTTTGTTCAAAATTGAGATTTTAGAGATGTTGATAATCTGCTTTTGTAATTATTTTTTTTGGGGGGGGGGATGGTTCAGAAAATTATTTTCATCATTAATAAAATACTCTAGACAGATCTTATATTAATTGATTAATTGTACTGCTTTTAGGTTAAATCATTATGTATCTTAGTCCAGAGAAATGATAAACCGTTAACTTTAAATTTGATTTACAGACAATTTGCATTTCTATGCAACTCCCCCAATCATCAAAAGTATATTTTTGACTGGTTAACAAAACATTTTTATACTTGTTTATCCTGTTTAAAAACTACATAATATGACTGCGTTTACTGTGGGCTAGGGGACGATCTTTGATCCAGAGGGGGGAGGAGGCAATTTTTTTCAAGTTAGGTTTATTTTCATGGCAGGACATATTATTTATTTCCAAGATGATTTTAAGCGAAAATTATTAAGTTTCTTTCTTACTGATAAAAAGTCTGAAGAGCACAAAGAAAAAAAAAACAATAATAATAAGTAAAATGCCCAAACTCTTTTTCATTATGGAAGGGGGGGGGGGAGGTGGTTGTATCGGTATATATTTTTTAACCATAAAATGTATTACATGTATACTATGGGTTTCAAAAATTATTAATGAAATAATGACCCGTGGATGGGAATTGTAGCTATTATATATTCAGTACATATTATTTTTTTCTTTTCAGCCAAGGACATATTATTCAGTTTTAAAAGATTAATTGTCTCTATTAATCACATTCACATTTAAAAGATTATTTGCTTTGATTCTAACGCCATTTTCATTGCAGTTCTGCAGTATATCACTCTGACTGATCGTGATACACAATAATTCTTAAAAAAAAAAACAAAATTCATAATACTACATAGTAATTCTAATATTTCAAGTTTATCTTGAATCCCGTTTTGAAACTCCTTAGACCTTGAAGCTAATGGTTATGTACAGAGATGATTTCCTCAGTGCTATGTACAGTGTAGTCTTGTACATTTCACCATTCTTCACATGAGCAAAATTATTTGCATGTAGGAAATAAACAGAGGCTAAAATTTTTATGCACATGAAATAAACAGGAAACACAGTTGATTTTACTTGTATTCCAGGATATACAGAGCTGTATGCTGACAATAGGTAGACAACTTCCAGTCATTCTTGTACAATGGTTTTTTATCTTTCTCACTGAAGAGCTCACAATTATCAAAGGGAGATAATTCAATTTCAAAGTTAATGTCTGCTATTTTAATCAAAGATTTCTCATATTTATAGAGAGAATACCAACAAGGTTTTAACATGCCTTTTAAAATTAATGTCATATTTCTTATTTTTATGAGGAACATGAATAGAAGTAGCTGCATTTCATTAAAAACATTTACAAATATTGCATTTTTCTAGAAAAAAAAACAACTTTAGACACCGTTTCCATGGTAACTACTCAACATCCATATGATCTAACATTTTTTGAATTAGTTTATGATGTGGTACTTTCCAGCCAAAATTGAAAAAATCTGAGACTATGCGTGTCACAAAGTTTAAGTGGTTACAGAGAATGGGTATTAAGATGTAAGGAGACGTACCTGATATACTCGTTTTCCATTTGTCATAGCCTCTAGTACCTGGATATTCTATAAAGCGTACAAAAATAAATTAGATAAAGGTTGTCTCTCTCTCTCTCTCATTCTCTTCTTTTAGAATAACATTTCCAAATACTAAATATAAAAATGTTAAATGTGACCATGAATATTAAGTACACATATATCGAGTTTTGATACCATCTAATCTAAAATGTATGCATGCTTTAAGTAAGGTATAATTATAATGCTGCTCTGTATACAAAATACAGTTTTTGAGTAATCAAAGTAGCGATGCACATGTAGTGGAATATCTAGAATGGGACGGATTAAGAACTGTAGACTTAAGGTACACAACAAAAATATCTGGGGCTTTCTGTGATAAGGAAAAAAAAGTTTTTTTCAAGATGGTTTTAATGCTCTTCTTCTGATATGGACGAATAACATATGGCTTAAAAACATGTTAATCAGAATTAAGTTGAAAACAAGAGGCCCAGGGGCCACATCGTTAACCTGTTCTTGAAAAGATTTTTTCTATATTTTCCGATATAAAACTTGAATCATTTTCAAATATGATGTCATATATCTGAGAAGTGAATGCACAGAGTACACTGCAATAGGGAAGAGTACAGAGTTCACTTCCCTGAGAGGTGTTACATGTAACGTATATGCGTATTAAAACTGCATATCTATAAGTTCCCTTTACAGCAAAACTCGTTTAGTACGAACACGGATATAGCGAATTTACGGTTAAAGCGAAGTCATTTTGAATCCCAAGCTATAGAAATTTAATGAATTTCTTATATGGTTATAACGAATTACAGATATAGCGAAGTGATTCCATAGGTCCCAGTGACTTCATTATAACCGAGTTTTACTGAACTATTATAGTAAAATCATTCAGTGCTTAAATTGTGTAAAATTTTAAGATAAAATAATTTCAATAACATATTAGCTTTAACGATATTACATCCATCATGATTTTTCTTGCCATTGACTTTTTAGAGAGAATTGTTTACTGCTTAAGTGATGCAACTTAACGTGTTTATATTTTTCATTAATGTAAAGGAATGTTTTTAAGGTAACACTTACTAAAACATTTCATGTCTTCTGTTTCCATTTTACCATATTGACCACATTTTTCGATCAACCCAGTCTGAACCTCCATATCATCCTCTGAATACATTTTGATTTGAAAAATAAAGGCACTGATAGGAATTTTCTTAAACTAAATAACTTAATAAACACCAATGAAACATAAATTTATTCAATGAAGGGTTATCAAATATTTATTGTTGTTTTGACATCATATATACATGTATGATATACTATACCCCATTCAATATTTGCTGTTGATATATGAATTAGTAAAGTGAAAATCAGAATTTTACCTTTTTCCGATTTCTTTTTCAACCTCTTTAAGATGAATACCACTACAAGTACAGCAATGATAACGCCTATTATTACTCCTCCTGTGATTCCTACTATGGCTCCTGTAGGCAGTGTTCTATCAGGGGGATTCCTTTCTGGTTTAGCTGTTGTAGAGGGCTCTTTAGTTAAGCTGATATAATACAGTAATTTACAACAATAATGTTTATTGTAGACAACTGTTAGTTCTAGTATATAAGAAATCTTTTTTTTTTTAATACCATGTTCAAATTTGTTTTGGTAAAATCAATTGACAGTGATTCTTTTTTTTCTTTTCAATAAATAGTATTCATGATAAAGTTTTTCAAGCCATAAACTTCTGTTTTAGAGTATCATCTTAAATCAAGGTGCGAAAATTACATTATATCATTATATGTATATTTTAGAACATCAATGTTGTCTAAACATGGTTATAAGCACCTAAGCACTAATAATTATGAAATATAAAAAATGCGATAATACATGACAGACAGAATTCTCTCTACTCACGTTATGTTTGGACAAGAAGGATCCGCATTAAAACATCTTTCTTTGGGATTTATATCATGACAAGCAGGGACTGTATTAAAATAGGAGCTTGTGATTCATTATTGAAGTGGTGTATAGTGAAGTATCAGATTGTTCTCTTTTTTATTCATCTTATGTCAATATTTTTTTTTGTGAATTTTTATGCAATATTCTTTGTTTGTATTATATAACAAAAATCTAAGCATAATTAACAAAAATTTGTTAATATAATAATAATAATTGTACCTTTTTTATACCCCCCGCTTGAAAAGCGGTAGGGTTTTTAGTAATAGTTAATTCCGTACGTCCGTCCGTCTGTACGTCCGTCCCTCTGTCCGTCCGTCCGTCCGTCTGTTACGCTTTATCTCTTATCCGCAACTCCTCTTATACTACCGAGTGAAATTTAATAAAACTTTCACAGAATCTTTATTACATATTGCCATTGTGCACCTCTTATTTCACTTTTTTATTTGACACGTATTTTAGGTTTCCCAGAGCAAAACATGGACATTGCCTTTTTTGTTTACCTATGACGTCACATAATAGAAGCTTCTGGATAACATTTCATAGGACGAGTTATTCCTCTTTACACATTACCGTTAAACAATAGAAAGCAACACATCGACATTATGGGAGGCGGGGGTGATACTTACATTTATACAAGTCAGAAAGAAAGAAGTGATTTTGTGGACATCCATGTGAAAATTTTACACAGCTGGTTTGGTCCAAATTTCCATTTTCAAAAACTTTCAAACAGTTACCTGTTTTTAGAAATATATGATTAAATTTACAAAGTACAATCCCTACAAAAATGTTTGACTGCATACAAATTGAATAAATACCTTTGGTATATAATCCAGTGGTTGTTATATTATAACAGAACTCCACCAGACTTGACCTGTTGTTGTTGGGAACACAGACGTACTGACTCCGCCCATTCTCATCCACACCACACCCCAATCTGGTAGCCGAGTCTGCGTACTCCGTCTTGTTACCGGGACAGGTGTCCACAGTGTAACCAAAGGATCCGAACTTCATCTTTGACATTTCCCTTAACTTTCCCTTAAACAGATTATAATATGACAGTATTGGAAGATTTGGTAACATAATTTCCATAAAAGGAGTCCATAAAGGAAATTAAAAGTTATTTGTGTACTTTATTTTTTATCAGTGTATTCAATTTTAAATTATCTATAATTACCCCATTCCCAGAATACATTGTAATAGCATTTTAAAAGCTTCCATATCTTGAACAGGACATTTTTTCAGAGGATGGCAAGAAAGAATATCTGAAAAAGAACTTATTTGTTCATTAAATCTTTAGTAAAAGCGGTAGCATGACAAAATGAATGATAAGGGAAAAAAAATAAATAGGCACTTTTGTACAACAGTAACCTTGTATTTAACCTGTTTTAATATTATGCATATTGCATTTTTTGCCTCTTTGTCAAAGTGTGAACTTCCATTTTCAAAATGATTGTTTTGATTTTATTTTCTTTCCCTAAAATGTTCAAAACGACAGTGGATCACACCCTATATAACTAGCAACTGGGAAAACCGAATCACTGTGACAACAGACGGCAAAGTTGTTTATCGGTATGTCAGAGACCTGATTTATATCACATTTTGACTATTTATAACATTAATTTCTAATTTATATAACAATATCCATAATAAATGCAGGCTTTTTAAGGTATAGCTACAACATATATGGATAACGAATGGATAATTTTTGTTGTTTAATAAAAGTGTCGGATGCATGAAATTTTGTTTAATGAAATCATTTCGGCTGTCTTGTACAACAGACGAGGCAAACAAGGACAACAGATTTAAAACTAAATCTGGCAATCGGAAGCAGTGGATACAAAGTTTGATAGAGAGCACAAATTCGCTGTATCCCAATATGCGGGGTGGGTAGGGGGTTGTCCTTCCCACAAGTACTTTTGGTTGCTATACGACACCGACTGAATCAAACTTCTATTCGATGATTAACATGAACATGTTTTAAATAAGAAGGTGCATTGGTAAATATGCGTAAATGTTGTTTTCCAGCGATATGGATCGAAAAACGGATAATTGGAGCTGTAAAGTATCATGAACCAGAGTAAAGTACTTAAAGTTCTTTACGTAAAGAATTTCAAAAAAAATATACGGGGACTTTTCGAAAATTATTTAGACATTTACTATAACTTCATAAAGGGCATGTATAGATAAATTCAGGAAAAGTCATCAACATTAAATAAAGAACGAATAAAACAATTATACAAAATTCCAAATATATAGGATATCTAGATAAGGTCTGTTAAAATTATTAACGTGCAGATGTCTATTGAACTGGAGCAGTACCACTACGTCAATATTAACCTGGCTTAACGTTACGCCTGCCGAGGTTTTCGCGTGAAAAACGATATGATCGAGATCCGTTGACTCTTCCTCCTTAAGGTCAAGATCTAGTAAATGAAAGGTGCCTACAGATTTATCAAACTTAAGAAATAAATTCCTTTATTGATGCTTTACAACTTTAGCTTCGTCAACTAAGGTGTTTCGGGGCATAATTTTTAGGTAAACAAGATGAAAAACGGTATTTTTCACTGCCATTTTTAATGAAAAATTAAGAAAACTGGTCAAGAAAATGGGAGGTTTTTTTTCGTATTCAGCAAAGGAAATGTATCCAGATTGCCTACAGTCTCTCTGAAAATGGAAATTGGTATGTTCATGGCCTCTTCTTTAAATCAATGTAAAATTTAATATAGGTATCCGGTTTACTTTTCATATGATTTCAAATTGAATGACTTGAAAATACCTTATTTTTTACATAACTCTGCTAAAGCCGTCAAGTACGGGAAAAAGAAAGTTGAAATTGATTATGACGTCATAATGGATCTAGCACCAAAAAATTAGTCTCAGGTTATTTACTAGATCTTGACCTTAATTACCATACATCAAATTACAAAAATCAAACTGTCTCTTATCTTAAACGATTCTTTAAACAATATGTACTGCTCCTACACCATTATAAAATTGTCTAGTGTCATATATATCTGATGACATAGCGCTAATTTGTTTAGCACGGGTTTACGTTATTTAGAATTCCGTAACGGTAAAAATCGTAGTCGTCCGGAGCGTTTGATTATACTCTGATTGAATTATTGGTCAGAAAAAAAATATGAACAAAAAACATAACAATCCCTTCGACATGTTTTTGTACTCTTGTTTTAGCAGGTTGGCTAGTTTATAAAATACTTCTATATAGAGCTACACAAAATTTTAGGTATCTCGCTCCTCCTCTTTGACGTCAAAATTCATTTTGACGTCGGTATTAGATTTCTTTACCTCGCCTCATTTCCTTCATGACCTCTGTTTTTTTTTTATCAGAATTCTGAAAAACTTGCACAACATTAAGTCCAAGTAAAATTGAAAAAAACTATTTACAGAAATTGAATTATTTGATCTCTTATTATGGGTCCATTGTGGGTTAGATTGTTGGTAAATCATATATTCAATACGTGAATTCGTGATTGCGCTGAGTACCCCTAACATTGACATATTTTTAAACCACTGAAGAGAATACATTTATTATTGTATATCATATCTTGCTCTAATGCGTTCTCAATGTTTTTCAATGAGAGGCGTTCATTTGAAAGCAAAATATACACAGTGTCTCAATAATTTCAGAAAAGCCCTCGTAAGTATTAAAATGTTATGTACACGTTTTATGTTTTTATAAACTTGGGATTTTGAATTGTTAACTTTGGGCATTCCTTGCGAAGCTGTTATGTCTGTTGCAGACTTCAACAAACTGAATTGTACACAGGAAGAGTGTTCTTGCAGATTATTGCGGCCAAAATAACAACTATTGCTACAGACCCTGAGACGTGCTACTACCCCACACGCTCGCTGCACGAACGGTACACGAACGCTACACGGTTTGCACGAAACGCTACACGGTTTACACGAAACGCTTTGCACGAAATGCTGCACGGTTTACACGAAAGGCTGCACGAAACGCTTTGTACACGTTTCTCACACGCTTTGTACACGATTTCCGCACGTTTTGGCCTCGGTTTGGATTTTCTACTCGGAATATCTCGGGCATTATTACGGTTTTTAAGGTCTGTCATGGTTCCTTTAGCTTCGTTGCAGCAAATTTGCAGCGATGTCTGCTGAAGACTTGCAGCAAATGTTTGCAGAGAGATTTTATTTCTTTCTAAGACATTTATCTTCTGAAATAATAAATAATGTAATGCAGTGATATCTAACACCTAGTGATATTTTTGTCAATGAACCTGACTATAAAATCTATAAAATGTCCATAGGACATGAATGCCCCGCCAATGGTATACATGTATTAGTAATGCAACATGAAAATTTGTTTTAGTGTAAAAAATTTGATCAGAATATCTTGAACAGTGATGAAGTTGAATTGAATCAGTATGTATCAGCATATGAAGTATGAAACTAATTTCATTAACTTTAGGTCAAAGTCAAGGGAAATGCAAAGGTCACAAACTGTTGGTGCAGTTGAAAAGCTCTCATCAGCATGTATCTGCATATGAAGTTGAAAAAAAAACTATCGAAAACGATTTCTTTGCTACTAACTTAAACACAAATTGATAAAAAAGAGTTCAAGGTCAAATGAAAGGTCAAGGTCAAAAATGTTAATACAATTGAAATGCTAACACCAATAAGTATCAGCTTATGAAGTTTGACATTAATTACGCAGCCTGTTAAGGCCTACTATGAGAAATCAACGGAAAATAGAAGTTCAAAAACGGGAATTGTTTTTAAAACTGAATTTATTTTTATTCATAATCATAGAACTTAATTAAATACTTTGCAAATAGCATAGTATAACCTACTCTGTACTGTATGAAGGTTGGCCCCAACGATTCAGAGTCACGTGATGAATGCATAGTACGTGTACTGAATGTAGGTCATTGACGAATTCCAATATGGCAATATTCCAATTATTTAGTCTATGCCCTTGCGAAAGAACGATTTAATGAGTCGCATCGATGTAAAATATACCTAGCCTGAACATAAAAACACGACAATATTTTTAAATACAATCTCTCGATAGTTAATGAATAATCGCACTAAACAAGTATATACATAAGTATTATTAGCCTATTTAAAAGCTGCACATTATATTCTGTTTTATAATAAAACGCATTTTTTATTGTTTAAAAATATCTCCATCTGCCTCTCACAGTACATGAAATACACTGTACGACATTTTTACCAAAAAGATGTCATGATTAACAAGTTCATCGAGATCAGTGATTTGTTTATAAACAATTGTATAGGATTTAACCAGCAACTTTTTAAGATGCATTGATAAGTTTTATTGTTGTGTATTATGCTAATACAGTTTTAAGTTGCAAATCATTTCAAGTTGTGATATTACGAGGAATAAATAATAGTCATATTTTTGTGTGACGTCATAGTAAACTTTTCCCTTACAAATTAGGCCCCGTCTCCTTTTTCAGCCTTAACAGTGCTGCTCCGTAGGAAAAGTGTGGTCAATGTGAATGCAAAGGTCAAGGTAAAAATTGTTGATGCAGTTGCATATCTCTCATCAATATGTATCAACACATGAAGTTAAGTAAAATATCTTTCTTTAATCGATTTCTTTAATTAAAACTGAATTAAACAAAATTTGATAAAAGTGAGGTCAAGGCCAAAAAATTGACAAAATCATAAACGTTGATTCCGTTGAATTGCTTACGTCAGTATGTATCAGGATATGAATTTTGAAACTAAATTAGGAAAAGCAAGTTCCAGATCAAAGGAAATGTCAAGGTAAAAAATGCTGATGCAGTTGAATTGCTCTCGTCAGTATATAACAGCATATAAAGTTTGATAAAATATATGAATGAAATGTTTAAAACTGAGCTAAGCACTAATTAAAAATAATTGAGGGCAAGTTAAAAGGAAAGGCGAAGGTCAAAAATGGTGATGCAAATAAAATGGCTCTCCTAAGTATGTATCCAACATGTGATGTTTGATAACACCTTCATGAGTGGTATGTTTAAAACTGAG